TGTGAAGAGAGGTAAAGAGACGCTGTTTGAATGCGCATATTTTAAAGGTTTGCCAATCCTCTACTATAGTATACTGTATTGTGAGGACTACAGTCTGTTTCTTTGATCATGAGCAATAAATAAATGCACATAAAATATTATTGGTAGTACTAGTGTTGTTGAGCTTGTATCAAATTAATAATAATAATGTTTAAAGTTTTTCTCTCCGTGTTGTTTTGACATAAACCACTGCACACTAAGCTTTGGCATTATAAAACAATAAATATGACTGCAATACTCTTCTCTGCTGGAGCCGTTATTGTTGTTATTGCTTGTTCTATTATTATTGACTCTTTCTTTTACAACATTTGCAACATTTCATCCATAAAAGGTCACACTTCTCCTTGAAAATGCTTTTAAATCCTATGGTAAACAACCACCGAGAGATTTCATGATAAAAGATTAGATTAAAGCATGTAAACATGTCTTGCCGCTTATGAAGAAAAATAAGTTTCTTAGTCGTACGGACGAGATCGAACTCAAGTGCTATAAATATGCAGGTGTTAACATTCACAGTGTGTCACGTATGAAACAGACAGGATTCGACTTGTTGTTTCCTCGTTCGACGCTAATCCCACTAATTTTAAGAGACTACGGAATTAGATCATCTCGAGAGTGTAGCAGCGTGTGATGGCGCGAGTGGGAATGCACAAAAGTGTAAACCTATATTCAAGTTGCACTTTGATGTGTGAATGAAACGCCTCATCGCACCCAAGTTTGTCTTCAAAGTTTGGCGAGTTGGTGAACGCTTATACCGCACGAGTGGGTCTAGACGCAGTGAAACGCTTGTACGTGTTGTGGCCTCGGAAATCAGAGACAATCCGTGAGTCCCTTTGATCAGCGTCGATGCCACACGTGCCGTTTGAGAGGTGCAGTTTAGGAGGGGGTGGAAGTGGGGTTGTGGCCTCTGGTGTTTTTCAAAGAGCTTTTTTCCACAGAAGTTTGACATAACTTCTTTACCCCCGGCCCACGCACAGCCACAGATCTCGCTAAGGTTTGGGAAAGTGTGATGCCATGGAACGGGGTGTTTTCACGTTAGATGGTTAAAGGGGGCTCAGGGGGCTGGTAAAGATGAGTTCTGAGTCATCTGGGATATTCTTTTATGTAAATTTCAAGGCATCAGTCCTGTCCTGGTTTGGTATTAAAACCAATCAATCAATGGATATAGCTCAGAACATCTCAAGTGGTTGATCAATCCATCAATCAAGTTTATTTATAAAGCACAATTCATGCATTGCAACCAAAGTGCTTTACACAGACATAAATCATACATTTTGAAACATAGATTTAAAAAAATAATAATAATCATTGTTGCTTTGAAACATTTCAGAGTGAATGTCAGAATTAAAACTGTATAAAAGGTCAATATGTATAACTCAGTTATATGCACAGTGTCAATATCAACTTGTTTGAAAGATTGCCTCTAAAAATATGTTTAGAGCAATCATAATAAACCTGAGATATTTTGTATTTATTTTTTCTGCATTGTTCTCCCGGATGAGCCGGAGGAAGTGTGTGGATAGGGAAGTCTGGGTGTCGCTTCAACGGAGGAAGCGGAAGAAAATGGATGGATGAAATGTCATATACAAAATAGCATGTAGAATCTGTAATAAAACATACATCGGAGAAACAGGAAGTGTTTGAGTGAGTTTCCTCCGGGCACTCCAGTTTCCCCCATCACCTAAAACACGAATCATACGTAAATTCCCCAGTCATCCTGAACTGGCATGAGCATTAATATCTGGAGGTGTTTCTATAAATCAGTTTACTATTTGATATATGTTTACCACAGCCCCAAAATACTTTTAAAAACATGTATGAATGCGGTGATTATGAAACAGGAAGTCAATCACCTTGGTTCTATTCATAATACGTTTAACATTGCAAGTTTTAATGAAAAGAATGACGCCTTTAAATGCATTGATTATAAGTGTCAGTTTTAGTTGCGCACATGATCCCAATTGGACTGTATGTGTTAATTCCCAATCTCTTATGGCCCTGCATCTGTCAGCACATAATCCTCTGTGTAAATGTCCTATATTGCTGCGGGCCCTGCAGCACCAGCACCAGCAGCAGCAGCAGCAGCAGCAGCAGCATCAGCATCAGCATCAGCAGCAGCAGCAGCAGCAGCAGCATCAGCAGCAGCAGCAGCAGCATCAGCATCAGCACCAGCAGCTTGTGTCCACATAAGCGGGGACACTCCCTCCCAGCTGGCTCCCATCACCTCCCTCCTGATCCCGGGAACATAACAGGTCACACCGTACCCGTGTCCCCTTCACCTCACATTAGCGCCCCGAGTAAGTGAAATAATGGGCCCTGCTTAGATCTGTGCGACGGGTAATCTAGGGCAGGAATTAAACTTTCATCTTCTCCAAACAATGTTCCAACGACTCGACGGATTTCTCTCGGTGAGCAACAGTGCCATTTGTAAACTCAGGCATGAATTATTAACCGGGGAGCTTTGCATATCGTGAAGTAGTCATCAGACGGCTTTTTACCACACTTCTCCGGCAGGTTAACGGCAAGATGATAATAATAAATGATTTTTGTACACTTGAGCAGGCAAACAAAATAGGAATTGTGTTTATTTTAGGCGCTCGCTGGAAAGAGAGGAGAAGGTCGGCATGCTGAAACGTAGATTAGGATTATTCACGGAGTCTTGCTTATTTGAAATACAATAACACAACAAAGCAAAAAAAAAAAAAACTTTCTTAACTTGATTTTGCCAAGAAAGCAGCATAAGGCGTTCCGGGATTCTGCTGCGGCTGCACTTCTACCTATAAATTGTCCTGTGCGTAAAAATTGCCAACAAAGATATAGTGAGCATATGCCAGTCAGTGATTCTTTTGTTTTCCCCCCATATTTATTGCCACTTAGATGCTGCAATGTCATTTCCATAAGAAATATAGTTTGGAGAAGAGAACACGACTCCCCTACTATTAAAAACCTTGGACCTCCCCAAAGTGAAGTCTAATTAGCCACTCAAACAGGCAGTGTGTATTCATAATGGTAAATGCTCATATAAAAGTTGATATTATGACTTTGGGGACAGGGCAGGTCATAAAAAGTTTCTCGTTCCATTAAGCACAAGTTCTCACAACAGGCTTTTAAACTCCAACTTTATTGCTACTCCACAATGAATTTCAAATAAAAATGCACAGATAAATAATTAAATTCATTATATTGATATGGTTGGTTATGTAGAGAAAATGCTGAACAAGAGAGATAGAATTAAATTACACATTTTAATTTTTTTTTTATAATATTAGTAAGATAAGATAAACTTTTAATAATAATAGTTTTCTTTTTGGTTTTTCATAATCACATTTCTACTCCTCAAAACAACACTTGTACTTGTCCTTCAAAATTAAATGTTTTATGACTAGATTCAATTCAAAGAAAGTACGAGCCCGGGTTTGTGCTCGCAGTTAGGATACACTGTGCTCTCTTTAAATCATGTTTTTAAATGAATTTTCTAAAGTGAATAAGCACACATAAACACACACAGGTCCAAGGTAAAAACAACAAAAATATAATTGCACTCACTCAAATTTTCCATCTTGTAGCAACCATATTTTTGGCAGCCATAACCTTGTGAAGAGAACCTGTTAAGTCTGAGAGGCTGAGAAAAAATTAAAAATCAGAAGAAAAACCAGGGGACATTTAGTGCAATAAAAACATCCAATGGAAGTTTATTTTAGTGGGTTAGGGGATTATTTGTGGGAATAAAAATAACGACTAGTAATGTTGGCGCTTTAAGACGGGAGAGGGAAACCTTGTGAAAACCCATGACCCCCACCCCCCCCCCCCAACTTTCTGATTAGGCAAAATAAATTGAAATCCTTGTGACCCTCAACATTTGTATCTATTCTGCTCCAGCCAATCATACTGGGCATAGCTTTGCCAGGGGGATATATTATTGTAGAAAATAGCAAAAGAGTACAGTTGGCCTTGGTCAGAAATACACATTATTATTTATTATTTCCTCACTGTGGGCTGAATAAAGGAATAGACTTTCTAAGCTGACATCACATACATTATTTTAGAAGAAAAGAGAAATGTATTTATTTTGCAGGAGGGTCTGTTTGATTTTTGCGAGGGTCTAACTAAAAGAACAGTGTTGATGATCCAGGACCCTCAATACTCAATATTTATGGACATTGGTCATCTGCTCCTTATAGACCAATTCCAATGTGTTTTCCGTTTTCATTCTTGTGTTTGAACTGTTTGATTCTCTGATCTGTGTTGGCAAATTCAACGTTTGTGTAAAGTCCTCTGAGATGTACTGTTGTTGTTTAGGGCTATGGAAGAATACACTGAATTGAAATGAATTAAATTTTGGATCACAGCGAACTGATAGAAACAGATACAATCACCTTTTTCTGAAACATAATTTAAACTATAAAGTATATGTCACCAAATAACAGCATGGCTTTAGAAACTATAACACGGCCTATTCTTGTGAACCATGATTCAAAATGGATCGGCTTCTCTTTACTGATCCTCACATAAACACATAAGCGACAATAAACGTGGAAGACGCTATGGAAACACGGGGGCCAACTGGGGCCAGAGGTCTGCTTCAAGAAAGGAGGCGGAAGAAGAAGTCATTTATTGCACAGACAAAAAAGCTCACCTTTTAAGACCTCCCCTGACAGCAACTTGGAAAGTGCTGGACAATGGAGCAATATACAGCAGTGTCATATGTTGAGCACTCTATGGCATTTCTGACAATATTAAAGCAATAGTTCATTCTAACGGCGTCCTGTGAAATACATTACTTATATTGTTGTGACCGAAGTAGTTGTTATTTGCAGAGTGGGCCTCGTACATTGTGAGGCTAAGCTCTGTTGAGATATTAACGTAGCTTTGGTCCTGTCCATTTGTCTACAGCGCGCTCGCAGCTCAGGGCGAAGGGTTAAACTGCGTGTCACAAAGGGGTGAAGGGTCTTGGCGGACTTATGAATGCCCAGTGGTGGTTGTCACGGCGATGGGATGTCAAAGACAGCGGCGTCCCGAAGGTCAGAGCCCATAACAGCCGAGTGGGATTCAGAAAAATTTACTGCGTGGAACAAATCGCCTGTTCAAGGTCGAAAAGTTAATAGGAATGATTTGTGAAGGTTTGTAATGCCGGGAAATATTTCAACCAAAAAAAACGGTATTGGCACTTTTGTGAGGTTTTCATTTTGAATTGATTTGAATACAGCAGAAAATATTGGCTACATGAAAGAGACTTTATTCAATGACAGCTAAGTTGTAGAAATTCCTGTACGGTGCAAGAAATATAACCTTGCCTGCAAGCTGAATTCTCGCGGTATTTGTGAGTTCACAAACACTCGAGAATACATCTTGTACCGCTCCCGCTTACACTTTTCGAGTCGAACCACTGGGTGTGCGAGCCAATCACGCGCCAGTCTGGGGGTTTAGGGCGGGATATCCGGGTTTGACGAAAGCAAGAAGTGCCGGGCCGAAGCAAAACAAACATGGCTACGCAGGAGGACGGACGCGTAGCTGAGGCTCTCAAGTCAGTTTTAGCAGAATCTCCAATTTCTTTTTTGAAAGATGAACAGCGAGAGGCGCTTTGTGCATTTCTGGACGGCAACCTTGGTAGGCGGGCACACAGCGTCACTTCGCCCAATCAGCTTGAAGTATTCTGCTGCTTACCCCTCCTTTCCCCAAAAGGATTCTCCGGGAGAAATCCCAGATTGATATCGTGGAGAACGCGTTAGAGTTCTACACAATCATCAATCTGGCTCTTGCCAGGTTACAAGAAATACAGTATTCAATTTATGTTTACCTAAATCACAGCAGCAGTCGTCGCGGAGGACTTTACAAAGTTGTCGATTAACCAACAACAAATCAGAAAATGGAACGCAGAAATGCATTAATAACAAACACATAGGAGCCGATGGTCCATAGAGTGAATGAATGAACGAATCCTCTGAGAAGGAGACATAACATCAAGATAACTTCCCAGATATCCCCCCAATTGTTATAAAAGCATTGAGAAATATATCAAAAAATTAACTTTTTGTTGCAGGTATAGAAATTTGCTGCACTGTCAACCTTGGTAACCTTATTTGGAAAATATTTACTAATCAAAAGTTCTCTGCTCGTTTAGGCAGGTTTGCTGTGTCAAATAATGTGCTTAAAAATGTAATGCCAGCTTTTGTTAAAGATTATAGACTTTCCATTCAGTCATTATTGCAAGTGGTTGTGTGAATTTATTGTCAACTAAAAAGGTTTTCTATTTTCAATACAGCAACTACTTAAATGGCCCTGACCCTACTTTTGTGGTAGTTGTGAATGAGAATATTTTTCCGGTCTAAAATCTACCTTGCATGTACTCCACAGATCAGCTCATTTATGCATGGCTTCACACAACCACTAACAATGAGAGGGAGAAATGAGTTGTGTTATCATTCATAATCCAAACAAAACCCATGAAATCTCTGGATGAGTGGTTAAATTTTCAATCACAAGATAACATAAGAGATCTTTCACAGAACAAGGGTGAATAAGTCTGTCACTGAATCTACTCTCCAGAGCAGACACCTCCTGCAGGGGTGACAGTCATGGTCCAGCATAGATGTTAGTTTATGGACACAGCTGTATACTATCATGTGGATCGTGGCCTGGAAAGTCTGAGGACAAACTGAGCAGCCATAGCTCTAGAGTTTTACTATAAGCATATTTGATATTCCCAAGGCAGCACTAATACACTTTTGACTTTCCTGTAGACTTGAACATGTTTGGCCTGTGTGGACTGCAGGCCTGTATGAACCGCTGCAGCGTCACCTCCCCGCAGCCTCCTCTTCCTCTCACACAAACAGAAGTGCTCTCATTATCGGACCTGTCAGTGTGCGCACCGCTGCTCTGTCTCTGGCTGCGGGCCGAGCGCACACAGGGATGAACACATCGCAGCCTCCTGTCACGGCTTCAGGACAGAGGACACCACCTCTGCCTCATCCAACAACACACTGTACTCGTGCAGCTCATTACCAGTCCAAACAACTGCTGGCTCTGGATTCACCGTTTTAATCAGCTAATTCAACTATATATTTGTAAATGTTTGGAATCACATCAAATCAAATCGAATGATGTAAATTAACTTTGGTCTCTTTCCGAAAACCAAGGAAAAAGGTCTCCTGCCATAAAGGAGGGATTTGCACAGACATATGGCAAATTATAGAAGAAAGTGCCTTAAACTTTCTCCATTGAAATTATAAAGAAGCTAGAAACCAAAAAATAAGTTTTTTGGCCATACACCCATGCACATTGAACAACCCGACTCACCTATTCACGCGCCTCCTGACTTTTTGCCAGGAACAATGCGGCAATAAAACCAACATCTTTCTTTCTATCTATCCACTTTCTTCCACTTAATCCTGAGCCAGGGTGCAGAAGCAGCAGTGGTTGACTGGCACCCGGTCCTCTCTGCACCCGACCCCCAAAAAGCACAATGTGTGGTGAGTCCTGGTCGACCCCCGGCTTCGCTTTACCAGGCAACATCACAATCCTTAAATATTCACTGTCGGTGGAAGTGTTCAGACTGTGATATGTCACCTGTAGAACAGCTCCTACCATCGCCGAAGCCTCACTCACAAAGAAGCAACAATTATAGACTTAGTATGATAAACTAGAATTAGTTAATTCGACCGTTGATGCTCTCTTGTGGTTATTTGACAGAACATAATATTGATGTTTAAAACAACAAGGGTCACATCAATCCAGATGCTAAACTCAAGAGCAGTTTTCCTTGTTTCTTCTAGACATATGTCGGAAGTGGAAAACAGGTTCTTTGGACCCGGGTTTAAAAGGAGACCGCTGGATAAAAAACAAATGAAAAACGATTTATGAAAAACAAGTGAAAGAATATAAAGCTATAAAAACCTAAGCTAAAAACGGAGGCTAAAATAGGCTAAATGAACGTTATCTTGGCCACTGCCTGGGCCGCCAGACCACGGGGCTCTCCCCTCGACATGTCTCGCCCGTGCCTCACTCACTTGCTTCTTTTCTCTCTTTCCCCTACCCATCTCCTTTTGTACTCAAGGCACAAGTGTTCTAATTGTCGTCACGTGGGGAGCCGTGGTGCTACGGGTGGTGCAAGTTAAAAACAATGTTCAAACAGACTTACAACATGCATAAAGATAAATAATAATAAATAAAACCTTATTAAAACCTACCACCCTTTTTGCACCCACCGACACATACGTGGGATAAATGAGTTTGTTCCAAGTTTAAGGGCTGCTACTGCACAACAACTTAAAAATGAGGCCCAAAGAGGTTTAAATGTGCATAAATTAACCGTAAGAGTGAAATTGGTTTGGCAGCTCACACAATGAAAACATATGCTTGTACAACCTGAAGGTCAAAAACCAACACTACCCAAAGTCCCTTCACACCTGCTTTAAATGTAAACTGAGCATCACTTTTGAAAAGCTCCAGTTTCCAGTCAAGCATAGAGCAGTTCTGTGTAACTTTGCCGCTGGTTGTGGCTCTACAGCTGCCTGGACGGCCTGTGGATCGCAGCCGTCCGTGCCCAGGAACACGAGGCGGCATGACACCAGCAGAGATAAGACACGCTGCACTGCTCGGCCTGGTCTCCTGGTAGCACCGGCGGAGTCAGCTCATGTGCTTATACTGCCGATTCTTCTGTCTCTGTCTATCCCCATCTCTCTCTCTCTCATACACACATATTTTCACAGTCACACATACACACACACACACAAGTACACACACGGCGAGAGACCAGGGGAGCTGAGAGAAATCCCTCATCTTGTATCTGGTTCAAGGTCCACTGCGGTTGATGACAGTTGACGACAATCCGTGAGGGGCCGGGGGAATTTCACCTGTAATAGGAGACAGTTTGAGAGCAGAAACAAGACAGTGGAAAGAACTGGATCAAACTTGACTTTGAGTGTTAATTTAAAGTAATGACTATTGAATCAGACTTAAAGTTGGGGTGACGCACTTTCAAACCAAAAAATAAATTGACCTACCTATCTTCATAGCTCATTTAGATATCAAAACGGTTTGGTTCTTTCACTTAAATCAGCCTCACTCAACTTTCAACCCAAAGTGTCAATTAGTGACTCACACAGCTCTTTCTCTAGCATGAAAGAGGAACATAGTCTGTTTTTATTTGTTCTCAACATTTTACTTTTATGAGACTCTCTGATGGGACAAATAATATACACCCCATCCATCCATCCATTTTCTAACCCTTAATCCATTTCTGGGTCGGGGGGGTGGCCAGAGATTCCACCCAGTACAATAATATACACCTAATACCTAATATACCGAATTATATGACAAATCGTGCAGTATCTTCTTCACCCTAGCTGTAGCAGTTGGAATTGAATACCCGTTATTGGAATGACTGAAGTTTGGATTATCCATCAATCAATCTGTCTATTTTCCCATAAGTTACATTTAACTGCCATTTAATAAGTGTTGGGACAGAGATTGGGAAATGATAGCTAGTTTGTACTTTTTGTCTCATATCAAACATCGTGTTCCGCTTTGTCAAACTTTGTCAAACGTATCCCACCTTTGACAAGTTTGTACACATTTCTGCTGGCCATTGAAATGGTGGCTTGCCCATGGAAGCCCCCTCACTCACTGTTTTACCACTGTTGAGTGAGGGGGCTTCCATGGCTCATGTCGTTTGTTGACATTGTTTACTTGGAGTCCACGGCATCTCATTGTTACAAGGTAAAGCAATATCAACCTCTGGAATTGAAACTTTTCTTTTTGTCCTGGACTTGAGCTTGTGTGTGTATTGGCATTTGTTCACTTCAATTCAATCCAACCCACTTTATATATATATAGCGCATTTTAAAAAACAAGTTTCCAAAGTGCTGCACAGGGATAAAAGTAAAACAACTTTGCCAGCTTCATATGTTTAAAATAATAATTAAATAGAAAAGGTGCTTGTTTGCTTATGGCACTGATCCAATACGATATCGCCATCCCCACTGCATATGAGGATGGGGTGGGAAAGTAGAGAGGGGTGGGGGGGTAATGTGACGTATATGCATTGCTATATTCTAATTTGCAACAATAAAAACTTGATCACTGATTATCAAGTTATTACGGCACTGAATTAGGTTTAAAATAACAAGGCCTGTGGATACTTAACAGGAGTAATTGTAGAAATTATCTAACTTCATCATCGTTCCCTGCTCCACATTACCACCCCAACCGCTCATCAACATACACTATACATCTTTCACAGCTGCAGCTTCATATATTTCACACTCTTGAACCATTAAGCGTCTGTCCAAAACAAATTTTGGATATTTTATGATGGCAGAGAGCGATCCACGAATAAACAAGCCTATCGATCTCACACCAGCTCACATGCTAAAATATGCATTGTGAATCCGCATCTGCTGAGATTTGTAAGGCCCCGGCATTATGCTCCAGTGAAATAATTTGTATCATTTCAAGCGAGAGAAAAAAAGAACAAAATCAATGGTTTCAGTTGCTGGAGAATCTCGATAATTAATTCTCAAGGTTTGTGAAGAGAGATGCTGCTAATGAGGGAAAAATGTAAATGTTGTAAAATTTTGCTTCATGCCTCTTACCTTCACTCCAGCCATAATCGAAGCTCACACAGTCAATAAACTGTCAGTCGGAGTTTGTTTCGCTCTGTTTCATCTTTTTGGAATTCAGATTTCAGAAAAGCAATCGAAGGTTTAAACAGATGCGCTAAAGCCAGGTGAGTGTGCTTCATAAGGACACGATTTTGGATTTCACATTTTCTGTCTGAGTACACACCAATCTCCACATTTATCCTGTGCCATTTTTAATAAACACACATTTTTTTGTGTTATAGTTTGTATGCCAGTCCGACCAAACTGTACCCTTGAACTGGAAGTACCTTACATGGTTGAAATATGAATCAGGTAAACTCAATTTCAGTTGCTCACAAAATTATGATAAACTGGTTCACTTTATAATTATTCACAACATTCAGAGATTGGAAAGCATTTTATAATTATAAATTGAACCGATGATCACCAACTTGATGGCATTTCTTGTGAACTAAAGGGATTTGCACATGTTCAGTCCTAATCCTAATAATGATACAGAGTAATGTCACAGTTGTGGATTTGTTGATTGATGTTTGAGTTTGAAATTACACTCACAAAACATTTTCAGCAGTAGTCTAAAGCCCTTTACAAACTGTACAAACAGATAAACTACAGGTGCTATCTCTGGACCATCGTCGTTCTGTAAACAGACACACCTGCAACATATGTGTAACGTTGGTACTTTGCGTTGGAACACAGCTGTATCAGTGCAGAGCAGAGCAGGGTGAGGGGGGTCGGGGACGTATCTGAGAAGCAGCTGTCAACTCCAAGCAAACACTGAAATAAGACCAGTTATTTGTGCACGCTGCAGAATAAACTCTTTATATATTTTCTCTTGTCATTCATGACCTGGAGTGTTTCCCTTTCTGGGGTATCCAAACTTATTGGCAAGAGTATTACGGGGATACTTGAAATTAGTTGTATTATTAACATGCCAACAATAGGAAGTAATACATTTCATGGCATGTTATGCATCATCATAACATCAATTCTCTGAAGAAAGCAACAATTAAACAATTGTAATGAATAATTGGTGTATCGGGTCCAGTTTTGGCTCAGTCCACCCATGTACTCATTTGGTTGAGATTATATAACAAGTAGTTGGACATAAGCAATAATTTGTTCAAAATCCCTTTACAACATATATTGAAAAACAGTGAATTATAAATAATAATTCAATTTTTATTGAATTTACCAACACAGATCAGAGAATCAAACAGTTCAAAAGAGACAAAACAGAAAACACATTGGTGTTGGTCCATAAGGGGCAGATGACCAATGTCCATAAATGTTGTTGAATGTAGAGAGTCCT